ATGCCCAGGCTGGTTTTAAACTCCTGGCCTCAATTGATCCTCCCACCTCAGCCTCCCAAAGTGCTAGGATTATAGGCAGGAGCCATGATGCCTGGCCTATAGTCATCATTCTATGCAATAGATCACTAAAGCTTATTTCTTCTACTGGAAACTTTATATCCTTTCATCAATATCTCCCCTTTACCTATTCCCCACCCTCTTTCCCCCCAGCCTTTAGTAATCACCATTCTACTCTCTACTACTTCTATGAGTTCAACTTTTTCAGATTCTGCACATAAGTGAGATCATGTATTTGTCTTTCTGTGCCTCGTTTACTTAACTTAGCATAATATCCTCCAGGTTCCTCCATGTTGCAAATGACCGAATTTCTTTCTTTTTATTGCCTTTTATGTTTTGATAATATTTTTACATATGCTTTATCTTCCTTCTGCACTGGAGGGTTGGGGATATCTTCTGCAATGCCTAGTGTAGGATGTAGATTGGGAATTTGTTGAATATTGGCACAACGTGACAGATACCATATTAGGCTCTTTACATAAATAATTGCATTTGATTCTTAGGACTTTTATATGGTGTATGTATTTTTACTCCCATTTATCTTATTGGGAAACTCAAGGTCAGAGTGGTTAAGTGATTTTCCCAAGGTTATACAATTAGTGAATGGTTAAACTAGATTTGAACTAGGTCTATCTGACTCAAAAGCCCACACTCCTCCAGCAGACTATACTGCTCCTCAAAGCCTTACCCATAGTAGATTCTTAGTGATTTTGTTTTTTGGTACTGAATTGACATCACATATTTAGGTCCCTTTTATCCTGTTTTTTCATAATTGTCCACGTATTTCTGATTCCCTTATTGTATCCTTGGTATAAATGGCACTTATATTAATAGAAGGCCGTTCCCTTTAAATTACTGTTGTCTGTCTTTGGGATATTATTATATATGTATTTCGTAGGCTTTTGTTGCCTGCAAGCATGAGCTCAAAGGAAAGAATGCATTCCATACATCATTCTCTATGTTCTTAAAAATCATTTGATCACTTCACCATAGACTAGGTAAAACCATCATGCAACTAATATTTTGAGTATAAAAAGTAACTTTCTCCTTTTTTCTCCTTTAATTCTAGGCGTAGTACAAGAAGAGTTCGAGAATTGTGGTGGCAGGGATTGCCCCCTAGTGTTCGTGGGAAAGTTTGGAGTCTAGCTGTAGGAAATGAACTAAATATCACTCCTGGTTTGTATTCTGTGTTCAGTTATTTCCATACATACAAATAGCCATCTCCAGAGTTAAAAAGCAGATTAGTAGAGTGGCCATTTACAAAGGCATTACCACGTATAATGTCATTTTGAGAGCATGTTCCCCCAAAACTTATTATGATTTAATAAGTTATACTTTATAAATAAGATTTGTGGCTTTTCATTTATTTATTTATTTTTTGAGACAGGGTCTCTTTCTATGTTGCCCAGGTTGGAGTACGGTGATGCAGTCATACCTCACTGCAACTTTGAACTCCTAGGCTCAAGCAATCCTCCTGCCTCAGCCTCCCCAGTAGCTAGGATTATGGGTGCAGGCCATGGTGCTTGACAGTTTTTCCTTTAGTTTAGAACTATCAATGATACTGTTGGCATCCAAATATCAAAAACTTCTTGGATTCTAGTGGATGAATAAGTATATACAAGAAAAAAGAAAACAGTCTAAATGTGAAAAGACTTCTCTTTTACTGAAAAAAATGTAAGTACTAAAGGAAGGCTAGAAATTTCTTTTCTTCTCTACCGAAACCAGTCTTTTCAGATTTTTTTTTATTTAAAAATTTTAAAGTTTAAGGCCGGGCGCGGTGGCTCACGCCTGTAATCCTAGCACTCTGGGAAGCCGAGACGGGCGGATCGTTCTGAGCTCAGGAGTTCGAGACCAGCCTGAGCAAGAGCAAGACCCTGTCTCTACCAAAAAATGGAAAGAAATTAATTGGACAGCTAAAAATATATAGAAAAAAATTAGCCGGGCATGGTGGCACATGCCTGTAGTCCCAGCTACTCGGGAGGCTGAGGCAGTAGGATTGCTTGAGCCCAGGAGTCTGAGGTTGCTGTGAGCTAGGCTGACGCCATGGCACTCACTCTAGCCCGGGCAACACAGTGAGACTCTGTCTCAAAAAAAAAAAAAAAAAATAAGTATACCATGGAGTACTACTCTGCCACAAAAAAACAATGGTGATCTAGCACCTCTTGTATTATCCTGGATGGATCTGGAGTCCATTCTACTAAGTGAAGTATCGCAAGAATGAAAAAACAAACTCCACGTGTACACACCATCAAATTGGTATTAATTGATCAACTCTTATGTGCACATATAGTAGTAACATTTATCGAGTGTTGGGCAGGTGGGAGGGGGGAGGAGGAGATGGGTATATTCACACCTAATGGGTGTGGTGTATACCGTTTGGGGGATGGACACGCTGGTAGCTCTGACTCGGGTGGGGCAAAGGCAATATATGTAACCTAAACATTTGTACCCCCATAATATTCTGAAATAAATAAAAAATAAAATATTCAGTAAACCATGCTATAAACATGTGTTGTCATTCAGGCTTTGTTGTTCCACATACAGAGCACAGGCAGACTAGATTTAGTGTAATTCTTAAGGGCCCTAGGATTTTCAGAACAGTAAATGAGCATTGGCTTCAATTGAAAGTCACTAGCTATGTTAGTTAGTCCCTAACAAGAGAGTCAGTCTGTCCTTTGATTCTTTGAAGCCAGGCATTGACTTCTCCTCTCTTGCTATGAAAGTCCTAGGTAGTATCATCTTCCAATAGAATACTGTTTTGTTTCATTGAAAATCTATTGTTTCGAGTAGCCCCCTTCATCAATAATGTTAGCCAGATCTTCTGGATAACTTGCTGCAGCTTCTCCATCAGCTTTTGCTACTTCACCTTGTAGTTTTATGTTATGGAGATGGCTTCTTTCCTTAAACCTGATGAACCGACCTCTGCTACCTTCAAACCCTTCTTCTGCAGCTTCCTCACTTCTCTTAGCCTTCATATTAATAGAATTGAGGAGAGTTTAGGGCCTTGCTCTGGATTAAGCTTTGGCTTAAGAGAATATTGTGGCTGGTTTGATCTTCTATCTAGGCCACTAAAACTGTTTGGCATAAGAGGCCTAGCTTTCAGCTTATCATGGCTTTTGATATACTTTCCTTACTAAGGTTAACCATTTCTGGTTTTTGATTTAAAGTGAGAGATTTGTGACTCTTCCTTTCACTTGAACACATAGAGGCCATTATAGGGTTATTCATTGGCCTAATTTCAATATTGTTGTGTCTCAAGGAATAGGGATGCCTGAAGAGAAGGGAGAAAGATGGGAATGCTTGGTCAGCAGAGCTGTCAGAACACACATATTTATTGATTAAATTTGCTGTCTTAGATCAGCATAGTTTATAGTGCCCCAAAACAATTACAATAGTAACATCAAAGATCACTGATCATAGATCAGCATAACAGATGTAATAGTAATGAAAAAGGTTGAAATATTGCAAGAATTACCAAAATGTGACACGGACTGCAAGTAAGCACAGGCTGTTGGAAAAATGGTGTTGATAGCCTTGCATGATTCATGGTTGCCACAAACCTTCAATTTGTACAAAACGCTGTATCTACACAGTGCAATAAAACAGAGCATAATAAAGCGAGGTATGCCTGTAGTATATTTATAGCAGCTATTTTATCCTTGTGTTATAATCCTATTATCTGTGTCATTTCTGTATTGTTACTGTTGACTAATTTTTCTTCTCATTATGTATTATATTTTTCTGCTTTTTCACATCCCTGGTAATTTCTTTGGATGGCAGACATCATTGTGAGTTACATAGTTGGATGCTGTCAATACTGGACTTTTATTGTATTCTTTTTTTTTTTTTTTTTTTTTTGGCTCTGTTGCCAGGGCTAGAGTGCCGTGGCGTCAGCCTAGCTCACAGCCACTTTGAAATCC